TCCCTGGGATGCCTGTGGCCCCGTCCCCAGCATGCCCGGTGTGGTCACGTCACTTCTGGGTAACACGCACGTCGGGGTGGGGCTCTCCTCGGGGCTCGATCCACCGGCGGCGGGGAATGGGCCTCTGGGGTGGGGGTTTCCCTGCCCCCCAGGGGGACTTGGCAAGCCTACTGTGAAGATTAAAATAATGTTGTTTCAGTTGGAGCTGCCACCACAGTGTTGGTTTTGTTTTTTCTCATTCCTTTTTCACAGTGTATTTTTTTAATTACCTCTCTTCTACCCCACACTTGGGCTTCCTATGTGTGTGTGTCTCCACCTCCTGTGGCAGCCATTTTGTGGTTGGCTCCTCCTCCTGCAGCATCCATTTTGTAGTTGCACCCAAAACCCTGTGTCGTAATTCCAAAGGTACCCACAGGTTCAAAAATGTTGGAGACCCCTGATTTACAGCATTGTGATTGGAAAAAAAATATTCACACATGTTTACAATCATGACAAGCTAGAGTCATGATGTCATTGTCCATTATTTAATCCATCGTATTGGTATTGTTCCTGTGGTTTTTCATATTGTTCTCTGTGGACTTTTGTGGGGTTTCCCCCCATGTGTCTCTATGTCTTTAATTTGCATTTATTTGCATTAGGGCTCTCCAGGAGAATCTGGGCGAAGTGGACCAGTATTGTTCCTGTGGTTTTTCATATTGTTCTCTGTGGACTTTTGTGGGGTTTCCCCCCATGTGTCTCAATGTCTTTAATTTGCATTTATTTGCATTAGGGCTCTCCAGGAGAATCTGGGCGAAGTGGACCTCCAGGCCCAGCAGGCCCACGAGGTCAACCAGGTGTGATGGGTTTCCCCGGTCCAAAAGGTAGTGAGGTTAGTATCATGTACAAAATATATCCTTTTTTTTTTTTGGCTTCTTTAACTTGTCTGTGGAAAAAGTCACAATGAGTTGAAAATGTTCAGCGTATGCCAACCGTTTCAACATAGGCTAACATGTCCTTCCAGTAATTGAAAGAAACATTGCTTGTGCAGATATTACCCACATGAATGGGGCTAATAACGGGCTATTTGACTTAGTCTTCTTCAGTATGGTGCTCGTGACCTACCTCACAGTTTCTGGGCCTGAGGTAGGAATTTCTCAGATTTGAATCCTGCCATGTCTTTTTTTCTCTTTAGGGTTCACCTGGTAAAAATGGAGAAAGAGGTGCACCTGGAAGTCCTGGTGGACAGGTGAGTAGAAACTATCCCTTCAGAAAGTTCACACCCCTTCTCCTTCTAGTTGTAAACCTCTATAAGGATTATGTTGACCCATAACTAGCGGCTATTCTTACCATTTAACAGGGACTACCTGGAAAGGACGGTGAAGGAGGAGCTCAAGGTCCACCAGGACCTGCCGTAAGTCAACCATATAAATAGGCTGCAATCTAGATAATGTGTACTAGGTTACAGACACACTTTCTAAAAAAAAAGAAGACGAAGTCTACTTGTTTATAAATAGGGTTGTGCCAACACCTTCCTTCCACAATTAGAGACGTCTTCTTCCTGTTGAAAAAAGTCTTACTGTTTTGAAGAAAGCTACCTCTACTGAAGCAAATCTTTTTCCACCAGAGCAAGGCTCCCCACTTACTAGAAGGGAGTTGTAGACTCCAACCTCGTATCGGTTAAACTAATAAAACAATCTGACCTGGATAGCCCCGACTAGCCCAAACGTGTCAGATCTCAGAAGCTAAGCCGGGTCGACCCTAGTTAGTACTTGGATGGGGGACCACCAAGGACATCCAAGGTCATCTGGTAGAGTTGGACAATGGCAAACCACCTCTGTTCATCTGCCTTGACTTGGATGTCCCAGGCTAGCCTGACCTTGTCAGATCTTGAAAGCTAAGCAGGGTCAGCTGTGGTTGGTACTTGGATGGGAGACAATCAAGGAAGTCCCGGGTGGCTACACAGAGGCAGACAGTGGCAAACCACCTCTGAATGTCTCTTGCCTTGAAAACCCCATGAGGGGTCACTGGCTGTGACTGGATAGCACTTCCCACCACCACCACCCAATGAAAAGCAATAACTGAGACAAGT